GCTGCAGCCCGTGGTGAATCTGCCTCAGGAAGAGCGCGCGACATTCCTGGCGAAGCTGGGTGACTGAGGGGCAGCTCCAAGGCCCACAAAGGGGGGGCAGGGGGGGCCTCGCTCTCATCCAGTACGCAAGGGGAGAAGCACAGGGAGCAGTCACCAGAAGCAAAAGCAAAATTCACATAGAGGAACAAAAGTTTCCAGAGGATGCAAAGATGCCCTTCTTCCTGTTAACGGTGGGGTGCGAGCTTCCTAGTGCCCAAGAAGCTATTTTGGTTTTCTCCCTGCTGGACTTAGCACCGTTCTTTGGCCTGCTCTCTTATCCTTTCCATCTCTGGTTTCCAAACCATACCGAAGGACAATCAGTTTTGACCATCTGCCACAGAGCGGCAGGGCCAGTGATGCGCAGTTGGCATATGTGAAAGGGGCGCTGAAGGCCCCATCCGCTCAGCTGAGAGCCCTGAGCCTCGGCATGGGGGGGCGGGGGGAGCCCACCAATCCTGGTTGTGCAGGAAGACCCAGCATCAGGGGACCCAGGAGATTCCACCCTTCTTCTGCTCACTGAGCAAGGAGAATGTCCCGCTTGGAGGACTGGTGGACTGCAGGGGAGATTCCCATTGAAGGCTTTGTGTGGCAGGGCTGCCTAATAATTACATATGCCCAAGTTTCCGGAGGCACCCAGTATTTTGCAAGCTTTTCCAGGAGGTGATCACCTGTAGAGAGAGCCACAAGACTTCGAAAAATAGAACGGTATACGTTAAAGGGATGGATGGATGGATGGATAAAAGTGCTTGTTTCCTGGTGTCCTTTCCGCCTCAGGACAGAATCGTGCAAAACAAACAGGAGGAGGAGGAGCGATGAGCGAGAGAGAAGGGGGAGACCAGTTCGGGCACCGCAGGAGCAGCTTTTGCTCAGGGCCGAGCAGAGGCATTCTAAAGCCGCTCTGCAGGCCGCATTTTGTGGCCACCCTGCCCTGATCTGTTGCTTGGGGAGGCCTCTGTTGGCAAACATATTTTAAAACCTAACACCACACTGACATCTCCTGGTGCAAAACCGCATTGCTTGCATCAAGGGAGGGAAGGCCCAGGCTGAGCTGGACCCCTTTCAGGACTGCCTTGGCAGAGCCCCCTCCAAGCTCTCTTTGGAGAAGCGAGCGCTGGAGAAACATTCTTGGTGGCTCTGCGTTAATCCATTTCTTCTTCTTCTTGTTGTTAACATAAGGGTTAAGTAGGCAGCGAGCACATTTCCGGGCACGTCTCTGTGCAGCACCAGCACCAATTCTGCCCCCAGTCCAGGTCCCAGACTTGGTGTGTGGGGAAGTGGCAAACCACGGACTGGAACGACATGAGGCGGAGCACAAAGGGAGGCTTTGCATGAGGAGAGAGCAGGGCGCGGTGGCGCACTGCGATCCAGCTCCCACGAGGCACCTCCCCTTCGGCCTTCGGGAGTCTGGGCCAGGAACAGCCCTTGGACTCATCTGGCCCGGTCAGGTGTCGCTGGAGGGATGCCCTCAGCGGAGCTGTTCAGGGGCCGCCCAGCCCTGCCTGCAGTCCGGGTGAGCCACGTGTGTGGCTTCTGGAACAGCCCAGCTGAACGGCATCCATCCCGCGGTCCCAGCAAATGCCTCGACGCAGGACGGCCGTGCGAGCATCTGATGCCCCTGGCTCCACAGCACTGCTGGCAGGATTATGCCCTTTTCCAATGCAGAACCATGAAGCAGAAGTGCCAGGGCCCTCTGGAAGGGTGGCTTGTGGACGCTTCTGGCCGCAATGTGAAGCCAAGGCCGTTTCCTGGACCCCGTGCAAAAGCGAGGGGCTCCTGCTGGAGGGGGGATGCTTTGAGCCGACAGTCGAATGCAGCCAGGCACGGCCTCAGCTCCCCAAGCTGGTGCTCCTGGCCTTGGATCCCCAGCTGCAGAGGAGGATCGCCACGGCAGGCGCCAGGCCTCGGGGCCTCTGGCTTCGGAGCGGCTTGCTCCTGCTCTGTGTTGGGCGAGAGTGCAGAAGCACGGAAAGCACTGTGGGACATGGCAACCGGCTCCGGCATTCCCAAGACAGCGTTCCTGCGAACGGAGCTCCTCCAGCACTGAGGGCTGCCTGCGGGGCCCCTGCTTGAGACCTCTGAACTGGGCTCAGCAGAGCAAGGCCCTTCGCGCTGCGTCCCTCTCTGCCCGGGAGCAGGCAGAGGGCTGGGGCAGGAAGGAATGTGGCCGGATCCGCAGCCGCGCCTTTCCTGGGTGGTGGGCACAGCACTGATTTCTGCAGCATTTCCCAGGAGGGCTGCTTTTCAGGTGCACGAGCACAGCACGTCCCCGTTTTACCTTCTGCCTTTACAGGTGGTCTATCAATCATTCCAGAAAAATAAAATTCATCTCAGGAATAGATTGTGTCTTGGTCCTTTGGAGGCTGGGAAACACACGGGGCTAAGTTGAAGGCCAAGATATTTCCCAGATTTAGCAAGGCACAGGAGAAAATGCGGGCTACCACAGTCATTTGGGATAATTTCAAGAGGAACGCCTCATGCCCAAAGAGGCGGCCAGTGCCAAAAGGCAGAGAGGTGGCGCGGCGAGGTGGCGGGGCCGCCACGGGCGGAAAGGGTGGTGTTGCGCTAGGGTGACCTGCTGCGGCTCCTTCCCTTGCTGGAGCCGAACACATTCCAAGGCAGCCAAACAACCGTGTCCCTGGCAGGGCAAACATGGAGAGCAAAGTTGACGGGAGTTATTTACACAGTTATTCGAGAGTGTTTGATTGTAGCCTTTGTCCAATTCCCTTGGAACATGCGATCTGTGTTTTCAAAGCACTTAGCAGCTGTCGCGTTCAGGAAGAGAACAAAATGTAGGTGTTGCAAAGTCAATATTTTCTCAGGCAGCCACAGAACAAAGCTGCGGAGAGCAGCGAAAAGGAAGCTGCACCCCAAGCTTGGGCTTGTGCTGCTCAGGGCAGGTGGCAGGGGGTTGATTGCCCAGCTGCTCGGGAGCCCTTGGGAGTGAGGCTCTCAGCAGTGAGATTAGCAGACACACAGAGGTGCCCTGCACCCCCAGAGCTTGGTTTGAAACCAGAACGACCCATTCACAGGGATTCGCATCTCCAGGAAAAAGTCATTCCTACCCTGGGCTGAGGTAATGGAAAGCCTCTTTTCTTAGAGCAGCAATGAAAATGCTGTTTATGGGGAGCATTGTTTATTTTTCCCTTGCAGGACAAGTTCTAAACACAGGGCACAAATAAAGAATGGTCTGATGGCCGCGCACATTTCCTGGGTTTGTTTCTCATCATTTGGCAACTAGCAGGAGGGATTCCGGGCATCTTCTGTTTATCTTGCTGGCCTGGGAGCTCAAGCTGTGCCAGCATCTGCTTCGAGACTGCAACACTGAGTGGCTGGACCACTCCAGGCAATGCCAGGGCAGGCTGCCAGGGCAGGAGACGCTCTTAAGGGAGCAACTCCCCGTCTCGTAACCTGCTCTGAGGAAGCTGCAGTGGCCGGAGCATCTGTCCAGCAGCTGGAATCGCTCCCCCCCCCCCTTTTCTGTTGTTCCGCTGCCGTGCCCAGCCCGGCTCCTACATAAATAGTGACTCCAGCGTGTTGACAGAGCCAATGTTGACACGGCGTTATAAACAGCCGTGTCAACAAGATAGTTAATGGCTTGTATTATGTGGAATATCATTTGCTTTGGGGGCTGCAAGGACTCCAAAGCGGAGACTGCCTTGCTCAAATTGTGGTGGGATTTCAAAGTCGGGGAAGAACAAACCCTGCAGGTTCCGTTGCACTGGCTCAAGGCTCCGAGACCACAAGAAGGGACAAAACGCTTACCTGCTTGTAAATAGCAGCCGCGCATTCAAAGTCCGGGTAGAGCGCGTCGGTTCACACAGCACAGCAAGCAGCGCAGCGTGGCCCGCAAGCCCCTACGATCCCAGTGGGCCAGAAAGCAAAATGCAGTGTGGGCGGGGCTGCCCCCCATTCTTCCGCAGGCGTTTCGGGGGACCCCACAAGAGCACAGCACTTCCCTCCTCCCCACTGGGGGGCCTTTGGGGTTCCCCGCTGCCTTTCTTCTCTTGGGGTGTGACCCCGTGAAACTGCAAACATTTGTTGCCCAGCCACCTCTCGGAATCGTTTCAGCAAGCGGCACCTGTCCCTGCCCGGCGCCACCAGGCAGCTCCGAGCCGCGTTCCATTTTCATGCACAAATTGCCAGCCCGACAGCAAGAGCGGCTGTTACCCCGGCAGGTCATGGGCAAAGGCTGGCAGGCACCTGCCACCTGGAATGTTCCCCCAGTGGGGGCAGCGAAGTCCACCACCCCCTTCGGAGTTCCTGGCCAGGCGACAGGAGCCCAGGATGCTCTCAGCTAGCAAGAGCGGGCGGCTTTGTGGCGAATGGTCTCCATCTGCCCTCCAGCCATTTGGAAACCCTTTACTTGCAAGTAGGGCCCAGAAGCGCTTCTCGTCATCTCTCCTTCAGACGCCCCTCTCGGAGAAGTCGGCTCACACACGGGCAGCCGCCCTAGATCCTGGCCCATGGACACAGCAGCAGTGCACCCAGCATGTCCGCACTCCCGGGTTGCCCCCCCCCCCCGTCTCCCAAAGTGCCCCCCCGGGAGCCACTCGTCAGCCCCAGCCATGTGCCCCTGCACTTGCACGTCAGGACATGCGCGTCAGCCACGCTTTCGAGAGACGCAACACTTCACCTTCCGCTTCACTCCACCTCCCTTCTGAGAGAAATGCCCCCTCCTGAGTCACATGCGTCCATGCTGGGCTTCTCTGGAACTGCCCCTGGAAGTTGTGCTGGGCTTCTGCGGAACGCGTCACACATGGGACCCGAACATGCATCCGCGACGCTGGCCCCTGTGGCCCTCAGGTCTTTCCAGGTGGGGATGCAGAGCAAGTCCCGGACAGGAAACCCACGATCTGGCCATAGTTGCTAGCAGACCAACGGATGGGGAGACCTCCTTGCCTTATTCCTGAGACGGGCAGGCACGTCGGGGTGGATGTGCAAGGCCACAAAACGCAAGAAGCCACAAGTGACATCTTTATTTGCAAGTTCAGTCTAAGATTACACACGGATCTAATCCTCTGACTACAATTGTCTAATCTTGACAAGTTAAAATCATGCATAGTAGACGAGACAGAGAAGGTCGCCAACCCTGCCTGTTCTGTCCGTCCGTCCGTCCTGCTGCTCAGAAGGCAGAGGAGGAGACAAGGCCATGTGAAAAGCGGCCCGTGCAAGGACGGCGCTCTCGTGAACCAAGAGCCGGGAATGCTGGGAGCACAATGGCCAAGCCAGGACCGCGCCCCAGCGCCAACACCCAGACAGCCTAAAGTGCACTCGGACAGCCAGATAAATAGCAGCATGGTGCTTTTCATTAGGGCTGGCTTGTTTCTTAATCCTTTTCCGTATGCAAAGTGTGGGCCTACGGGGGGAAAAAGTGGGGAAAGTACAGGAAGGGGCAGGCGAGGCGTGACGAAAGAAACGAGGGCATCTCCCTCCGTCCTGTGATAGAGATCAAGGCAAAGAGGTATTTTATTATATACTGACTTTCTTTAGCCACTGCTCAGCATAGCCAGCTATGTAGCCTGAAACACTGTGACAGCATACGCCCAAGCAGAAATCCCAGCGCGTCATGGTCTTCTGCGCCTGCAAAGGAAGTCCAAACAGTGCCGTCTTAACCGCCGTGGGACTGCAGCAGGCTAAAGGCCCAAGGCCGAGCCTCCCCCCGCACCCCATCCCAGGAGACTCCAAGACACTCGAGCCCCAAAGCTCCCTCGGGTCCAGCCACTCCCTGGCCCGGGGCGTGGGCGCCGTCTCTGCAGCAATCCCGGCAACAGGCGAGAAAGGCGCACGCAGGGGGCAGCCAGGGAGCGATGCCCGGCAGGGGTAGGACTCCCAAGCAGCAAGGGCCGTCTGGTCTCGATGGGGCACCGCCTGGGCCCTCCAGATGCTGACTGCCCCCCTTTACCTCTGCTGCCCTCTTGCCTGCCTGTTTTGCCTGTCCTGTGAAACTGCCACCTCTTCCTGCCTGAGCTGAAGAGCGTCCCCTCCGCAGCAGGGCCAGCTCCTAGCTGCAAGAGGCCAGACCGCCATCGCAAGCCGCTCCTGAGGCCCCTCCCTCGCCCCGCCACGAAAGCAGCACGCGCCCTCCAGCGGCAGGCCCCCGCCGGGCCTCCTCAGGAACACGCAGGCTTCGGGGGGCAGCGACCCGCCTCCGATCCGCAGGGAGGCGGCGGGCACTTACTTGGGCTGGGCATGATGCTGATACCCGGGTCCAAGATGAGATCCGGCTTTCATCTCCACGGCAACCGAACACTGGCGGGGACACGATTGCACCATGTGGTCAAGAGCCCACACTGCGGCTCCCCCCCCACCCCCCCCGGCCAAGGCCAAGGCCAAGGCCAAGGCCGGCCCGGTTCCTGGGACTTACTCTTGTTTCCACGTCGGTCCACTCCGATTCTGTGGCCTCCTCCGGGGGCAGGGGGCTCGAGGGAGAGGACCTGCGTTTGCGCCTGGAAGCCACAAGGGAGAGGTGAGGCACGCCGGGAGGACTGAGGGCGTGTGCGGGCCGCCCCCTGCGAAGGGAAGCCAGCCCCAGCCCAACGGGAGACGAGCGGCCCATCACGACGGCCAGCCGGGTGGGCCACCTGGGCAGGCTTCCGGACGGGTCGACGGGTCCTTTGGCGGGCCTCGATTTCTGAGATGTGGTCTCAGGGGCCTTTCAATTATTGCTGCTGAACTAGTGAGGTTTTCCCATCGTGATGCATTTATGCTGCAACCCACAGTCAGCTCCATGCAGGGGAGATGAAAATGGACCATTTCAAAGGGGGCTGGCAAGGCTGACCGGCAGGAGGCCTTTCCCCACAATCAAGGCAGGCAGAGAGAGCCTGCCGCGGACAGAGCTCCTCGGCCTTCTCGACGGCCCCCTCGCCTGGGCCTTCGGCTCCCAGCAGCTGCGCGGATGCCCACATGCTGCGGGGGAGGCCAAGGGCAGGGAGGGCGGGCAAAGCCACTCACCCAGTGGGAGACTCCTGCTTCAGGGTCTCGATCTCGGTGAACTGGACCGCCTGGCCGCCTCCCCGGGTCTTGTACACGTCGCCCTGCAAGCAAGCGAGCGAGCAGTCGTTTTGCAAACCCCCGACCACGGCGGGAGGAAAAGGCCTATCCTCCCCTCCGGAGGCATGGGTCAGCTGCACCCATGGGGGCCTTGCCGGGCTTTGGGGCAGGCCTGCAGGCTCGCCCCCACTCCCAGCGCCTCGGGGGCCCCACACTGGCTGGCTGGCAGGCATACCTTGATCAGCTTGGTCTCGATCTCGCCGTCTGAGGCCAGCTCCTGGTGGGTCAGCATGTACTTGTCGCACCTGGCCAGCGCCTTCTCGCTTGCAGCCGTCACGGTGATGGCGTGGGGCACGTGGGGCTGCAGGACCGTCTCGGTCTGCACGTTGGAGGCGGGCTTGTGGTCCACCCATCTCTCCCCGGCCGAGCGGGAGCGCCGGTGCCGGAGGCGAACTGGAGGGGCGTTCTGGTCAGGGCACGAAAGGAAGGGGTGGTTAAAACCCGAGGACGTGGATGGGGACAAGGGCCCCCCTGCCCTCCAGCGCTTCCTGCCCCTCAGGAGGAGGGGACACCCCACTGAGTCCAGGAGAGGCAGCCACTTGCAAAAGCCCGACTCGAGAGCAGGAGAGATTCACAACCACAAACCGTTTGGCAGCATCCCCCTCCTGGGCGAGGCCTCGATCGGGTGGTGGCCGGCTGGCCCCACCCCTAATCCATCCCAGCGCCTTTCTCTCGGGCTTCCGGCCCGGCACTCGAACAGCTGCTGCCCCAGTCACCCCATGGCTGAGCGCAGGGAGCACGGTCAGTCGATCCATCCACCCAGACCTCTCTAGCCTCAGAGTCCATTGACCTGGCCAGGCGTGCCTCTGGGTGGGCCGCCGGAGCTGAGAACTGGAGGCACCGCCACGGGCCTGCCCCGACTTGGAGAGCAAAGTCCAGGAGTGGGGCAGAGGTCTGTGCCTTGGCAGCGATGGAGTGGGGGTCCCACAGGACTCGATTTTACCCCACTTGCCCCCCTCCCCGTGTCCAACATCCATGTGAAATGACTGGAAGCAGTCTTTGTGCAGAAGACAAGCGGGCCCCACAGAGGTCTGTTGCCCTGCTGCCTGGGGGCAAAACAATGAGCGAGCGGAAGGCCGCAGGGCAGGGCAGGGCAGGGCGAACCAGCTCCAGCCAGGCAGCCCCCATGGTCTCACCCCCCGCTGGCAGACCCCCGCATTCCTCCTGCGTGCGGCAGCAGAAGTCCTGGCCTCCCGGCATGTGCGCTCTGCAGAAGCAGCCTGGCCCACCTGATTCTCCAGCAGCTGCAGCCCTGGGAACGGGACACGCAGCACCAGCGGCCGGCCCCGGGGGGCCCCACAGCTTGGGGCCAAGCCGCAGCAGGACCCTGCCTCGCCCCCAGTGCCGCCCAGGCAGGGGCCCGTGCAGACGGGGCCAGCCAGCGCCAGCAGCACAGCGGTTGGCTGGCCTCGAGGGGCGAGCGGCAGCACGGGCAGCTTCCACGCAGCAGCCGCCGGGTTGACGAGCAAGAGCCGGGCTGGAGGCCGATGGGCCGCACGGCCCACCGTGCACTGAGGCTGCGGCACGACCCGAGCCCACGGCGCAGCTTAAGACGCTTCCGAGCAGGCTGCAGCTGGGCCGCGTGATCCCTCCCCACCGCCTTTCGACTAGGCGGCTGAGAAAACGAAGGGCCGGTTTGTGCCGCAAGCCCCGCGCCTGACCCTGCCAGTCCCTGAGGACAACAGCCGCACGGAAGCCGCTGCACCGCGCGCACAGGCCGGGGGAGACGAGACGAGACGGCTGGGCCTTCCAAACGGCTTGGCTCTGGGGCAGCCGGCTGGCGGCAGAACCAGCGCCGCGCCCGGAAGAGCGTGGGCTGAAATCCGCATTCATCCCGTTTGCGCCGCCGGCCCAGGACCTCAGGCGGAGGGACGGCGGCACACGTGGCCGCCGCCGCTCGCCCAGGGAGGCCGCAGGGCCCCCCAGAAACACGCCAGGGCACGCAGGCTCCTTAGGGCCGGGCCGGGCTGGGCCACACCTTCCTGCACCGTGCAAGGCACTGGCTTTGGAATCCTCCGCCTGCGGCGAGCCGGGCCGCGTCGGCAGGGGCGGCTCGGGGCGACGCCGGCATTCCACGCGGGGCCCCCGCAACGGCCGCCCGCCGCCGCCTTGGCGAGACCGGGCGACCTTGCCTGCCCCAGCCGCGGCCGGGAGGAGCACTAACCCTGCAGCACGGCTCCTCTTCTACCTCGAGGGCCTCCCTGGCGCCGGGGGCCGTGAGGGCTCCGGTGCAGCAGGCGCCCTGCCTTCTGTCTGACACGCCCCAGGGCCGAGCTCGCTCGGGCTCCGGCGGCCTGCTCCGGGTGCTGCGGGGCTGCTGGCTGGCCGGTGCGGGCGTCCTCTGCTCCCACTCCGAGACGCAGGAGGCCACGGAGATGCTGCTGCAGGAGTTAGAGCGCCTGTGCAGCGGGGCCTGGCCAGCAGCGGGAGGCAGGCAGTGGTGGTTGTTGACGTTAGGGAGCCGCCTGCCGCAGGGACTGGAAGACTGAAGAGAAGGGCGGTTAGTGAGGCTGGTGCGCGGGAGGCCCCGGGCCAGCGCCTGCGGGGAGAGGCGGCCCGGCCTCCGCACAGGCACAGCCCCACGTTCTTCCAATCAGGCTAAGAGGACCTGCAAGGGGGAGACGACCTGCCAGGTGCTCAGGGATGCGGGGAGGAGGGAGGATCTTGGCCGGCTCCCGGTCACGCTAGCTCGCAATCTACACTCTCCAGCCGCAAGGAGTCACACACGCCCTCGAGTCCTGCCTGCGCCCCAGCCGCGGCCCCACGCGCTGCCCAGAGAACGAGGGCCCACTCACAGGGACTGGCGGCGGGGACAGGGACCGCGGCAGGGCCTTCTCCCGGTCTTTCTCCCGAGAAGGCCTCTCTGGCTTGCTGCCCTTGGGCTCTGTGACAATGGCCTTGAGCTGCTTCAGCTTCTCATCTTTCACCCAGAGCTTGTTCTGCATCTCCAGCTGCTTAGCGGCCACGCGCCGTTCCTGGGAGAGAGAACAGTCCTGTTAGGATGGTAACACAGTGGGGATCCTGCCAGCTGCTGGCTCCGTGCCGGGTGCCAGGCTCTTGCCCATCTTTGGGGCCAGGCTCGGAACTCCCTGTCCCTGCGCATGAGTGCTTCTCCTGCAGGGCAGCATGCTGCATGGGCTGCAAGGGGCCAGGTTCTGAACGGCTGGTCCAGGAGAGGATTCATGCCCCCCTTCCTCCTCCTCCGGCATGGCTGACCAGAAGGGGACCCCCTTGTAAAGAGGTGTGTGCTCTCCATCTGCATGAGGGAGCTACGAGCAGGGCGACCCTGCCACCGGGACACCCCTGCATTCCCTGACCCTCCGGCTGCTCTGTTTTTGGTTAGCACATGCGCACCCCAGGCCTGGGAGGCTGGCTGGCTGGCTGGCTGGCTGCGAACACTGAGCATCGCCCTCAACAGCTCCATTGATTTGGGCGGGAAAGGGGCTGTGCCCTTGCAGCCAAACGCCACCTCTGCCTTCGGCCCTGCCTCTCCGGTCCGGGAGGATTGCAACTCCTTCTGGCCCTTCGGGAGGACCCCGCAGGAGCCCGGCCAGGGGAGCGCCTTCTGCAGGGGGGTTTCCTGTAGGGGGGAGGCGGGGCCTCAGAGGCCATGGCACTTACACACTCCTTCTCCCACCTCGTCGTCGTCTCCGTCACCATGCCCTGCAGCCGGGCCTCCAGCCGGCGCTTGTCAGACACCTGCCGCTGCAGCTTCTGGTTCTTGCTCTCCAGCTCCTGCTGCAAGTTGCGCTTCTCCTCTTCATAAATGGCTGTCGTTTTCTCCAAGATGTCGATCTGCAAAGAGAAAGTGCAGGCCTTGTTTGGAACGCTCACCCCACACATCCCATTTAGCAAAAGACACTTTTCTGGAATAGCCAGTGCACAGCTAGCCACCAGACACACTGAATTAGCCCCTGCCTTGTGGTGCAAGAGGAAAACCTTCCCTTGCTGTTGTACAGCTCATCAAAATAGGAGGAAAAAGCAACACTTCTTAAGAACAAATAAGATCTAACTCTGAAGCAAGAAATCTGAGTGCAATCAAAATACCAGTTTGTCTTATGCAGGACGTCTGCTTAGAAAGCCCAGATGGGGGTGTGCACCTTACCTTGTATTCCAGCGTCTTTGCCCTCTTTTCCAGGCGCTCAATCTCTGTTTTCTGCCCCGCAACTAGCTTCTCCTTCTCAGCCATCCTCACTTGCGCGTAGTTCTCCTTGGAGACGATGCTGGCGTCGAGCTCTTGCAGCATGCTCTTGACAGAAAGGACTGCAGCGGAAGGCGACATGTGAACCTTTCCCCCTGCTGCCTGAGGGTGGCTCACACTCGCTAGAGGAGCCCAGGGCTCGCGCCTGGCGAAGCTCCTTGCAACCCACCGGGCCGGAGTCGCACCTGAGAGGCAAACTCGGCGTGGGGGCACCGTGCCACAGTTTGAAGGGCAGCCGGAATGTCGGGTGATTTTTATGGCAGATATTCTGCTCTGCGCACTGGGAACGCTCTCCAGGCCAGAAAGCAAACTGCCCTTGCCGTGGGCCTGCACTGCTAAGGATCAGCGAGGCAGGGGGGCAGCTGCAACGAGTCCCCCGCGGGCGCCCCCTCACCGAGCGGGAAGCAGCTGCCTGCCTCCACGCCTGGCTGGGGAGTGCCAGAAAGCCCGCCCCCCCCAAGGCTCACCGTTCTTGGCAAACTCTTCGGTCAGCACCTGCCGGATGTGGTGGCGTTTTTCGAGCACTGCTATCAGCCGAGGAAGCGTCTGGTCATCGTTGATGTCCAGGAGTTCGCAAGATGGCATTGGAGGAAAACTCTGCAGGAGCATCTCCGTGACGGACGGCTCCCGCTCTGCGAAGGAGGCCCAGCAGGGCGGGTTTATTGCGCGGCCCCAGATCGGCCTCTGCGCCCACCTGACGCCTGGACCTGCTGCAGCGGTGCGGCTCAGAAGAGGGCGCCCCCCCACGGCAGCCACGTGCCAGTCCAGCCGCACAGCGCGCACAGACACACGCGAGGGCCGCCGGGCCACAGCAGCCCAAGGACTTCTTCGAAGAGCTCCCTGCGCTGCCCGGCGACTGGGAGGCAGCGGGGAAGAGAGGCCGCCGACTTGGCCCACTCCCCTTGGGCACCCCAGCGGCTTTCAGCCCCAGTCCAGTCCAGTCCAGTCCAGTCCAGCCCCGGGGGCTAAGCAAGGCTGAGAGACCATTTCAGTGGGGACTGGCCGACCCGCAGAACTCAGCCAATGTCGGGCCGCCCCAACAGCCCCCCAAGATTTACCTCTGCCGATCGGTCCACCGCGCAGTTCCAGCTGCCGTGAAAGCTCCTCCCTGAAGGCCTGGTTCTTAAGCCGCCGACCAGGCGTTAATCCACACAGGGGCTTATCTGCAGGCCTTGTGACCTCGACCTCCTGGGTGATTTCGGCAAATCGCAGTACTTGCTGCAAAAGAGCAATATTTATGGGGACGCAAGACTCAGTGCTTACCGCACACTCCAAGAGGAAACGGCCACGTTAACAAACCACACAGTGGGCCCACAAAGTGTCATTTCTCCCAGAGCACAGGTTTATTTAAGGACGTGCTTCATTTCTATACCACCCCACAGCCAAAGCTCTGGGTGGTTTACAGTTCAAAAACAGGTCATAAGAACACACCCACATACTACGATGCTGCTCTTAAAAGGCAGCTCAGATCAAGAGCAATTGTGCATTTTTTTTTAAACCACATCAGAAACAGTCTAGTTAACACCAATTTCAGTAGGCTTAAATCACGCAAGTTAAAGTCAGATCTAGTTACCAAACTCTCATCATAGTCTTCAGCCTTTGGGTTCACACAGACGATCATACGCACTTTCCCTTCTCCATCAAAATAGTTCTTGAACAGGTGGGTCAGTTTGGAGTCTCGATAAGGGACCATCTAAGGGAAGAGTTTCGCAAAGATCAACTTCCCAGAAACAACAGCTCAGGGCACACGACAGAGACGGACAAGCGCAATACCTTGTTGGTCCCGTACGTTTGGTTCTCCCGCAGAGCCTCAATGCAGGTTCTTAGCGTCATCAGCGACTGATTTATATTACCTGTAAGAAAGAAAGAGGGAAGTCCAAGCCGATGCTGCACCCACAAGGCTGCTTGAAACAACAGGAGTTTCAAGTTGCAAATGCCCTGTCCTTAGGGAGAGCCAGGGTAGCTTTCTGGATCCTTTGGGGTTGCCCCTCCCACTGGAAGAGGAGAGACAGAGCCTGCGCTTTGGAGTGCTCTGGCTGGGAAGGAGCTCTCACTCTCCCAGACCAGGCTGGTGAGAGCAACCCCTGTCCACAAAATCCATTTACATGCATTGTACTCTTATTTTGCCCAATAAGCTGTGCTCTCTAGGAAGGTTCTGAAGAGTTAAAGGCCAACCTGGCTGCAGCCGGAGTGGTAGCGCAATGAACCATTACTCTGGTTGGCCTGTGCCTAAGAAAAGGACACCTTCCTCCCAGATGGACTTCTCTTCTGCAGCTCTTCCACCTAGAAGATGCTCCCCATATTCTCCCTTGAAATGAAGAGTTTGGGGGACTCTCCAGAGATGAGAGGATCTGAAAGTCCGGCTCCCGTTAGGCCAGGCTCTCAGGACAAAAGGAATCCTCGCTCGGCGGCAGCATTTGCTGAGATCCTGCTCTTAAAAGCTGCATCTACTGGGAGGTGCAATGGGTGCCCAGGGACCCGAGAAAGGAAGCTCGACTGCCAACGGCTGAAGAATTGGGCGAGCACCCAAAAGGGGCGGGCAGCAGCACGCTGCAGGGGCACTTTGCCCATGGCCCGCCCTGAGCAGAGCGCCAGCGAAGGTCTCATTCCCGGCCTTGCAGAAGAGCCTCGCTCGAAGGCCGTGAGCACTTCCCTAGCCTGGCAGATGTGGGGGGAGCCAGTCCTGCTGGCTGCTGCTCAGAGGGCCGCTCCAAGGGGCCGCAGCTCCCCTGCTTGCTTGCCCAGAGTGCGCTTTCCCATGGGGGGTCGCCTCCCATACCAGGGGGGTCCAGCAGAGGCTGGGCAGAAAGGCAGCGAGGTCACCCACCTGCTTCACGCAGCCGGCTCCCTTCGGCTTTGGTCCTGTTTGTTCGCTCACTCCCTGCCAGGTCGACCAGAGACAACTGGCTCAGGGTGATCAGCTCCCTCTCCTGCAAGAGGCTGGTGGTCAGGGACGAAGCCAGAGAGCCGCCCACACACCACCACGTGGGAACGGTGGCCGATGCACGGCGGTTACAACTGCCCTCTCCGGAAATCAACCCCCCCCCTGTTACCTGCAGCACATTGTCTCCATCAGCGTCCAAAGGCGCCTGGGCCAGCTTAATGAGGAACACACTGTGCGAGCGGCTGGACTCGCGGTTCAGCTGCGTGTTTGCAATGCGCCGTTTCTTCTGGCCTGCGTATGAAGAATTCCTCAAGTCAAGCAGGGCTGCAAATGGGCAGTTAACTCCCTAACTCGGCCACATCTGGCGTACTTTCTGCTATTCTGGCCAGCACATCTCAGAAAGGATATTGGGCAGCTGGAAAAGGTAGGGAAAAAGTCCCCTAAACAAGCCCGGCTGGCCACCATCTCTATGAAAACGGCCAATATATCTGGGCCTTTTAGTTGTAGAAAGAGGCAGAGGCAAATACATAAGGCCACAGGAGGTCTATTAAGCTAAGAAATACCTTGCCCCTCTTCCTAGAACTGCAGGGCTAGGCAACGGAATACACTAGCAGTGCCAAGCAAAGCAAAACCCAGTGCAACACTCGACTTCAGGAGCAATCCCACACCTCCAGCCTGTGTCCCAGGGCCCTGAAGGCAATTTGAATTCCCTTGGAGTGCCCCTTCAAGCTTGGAATGGGGGAATTGCCCCCACAGCTGGAGAGGGAAGATTCGTCACGGCTACTCTGCAAGGCCAGGAACTCTGCTGTGGAGAAGGCGGCCTTCAGGTGAGTGATGGGGAGCAAAAGGGACCGGAGACTGCGACGCGAGTTATCCCAAGGCCTCCCCAGCCTCTTCCCCTTGAAGGCTAGCCTGATGGGCAGAACGAACAATGCAGGGCGGGTGGCCAAGGCCACTGACACGCATACAGGACGCTCCCTCGTGCGGCAATCCCCACCCCCGCCAGGTCTGGCCTCTGCTGCAAGGCCTACCTCTCCAGAAGACTTCAAAAGCTTCCTCCGTGGATTTGACTTCTACTTCTGTGCATCCCGCAACATACATGTTGTGATTCTGATCCTCGCGGAGAATTTTGGACTGGGGAAGCCTGCAAGGGGAAGGGGGCCCATGAGGGGGACCGCCAGCAGTGCCTGCCCTGATTGCTACCGCCGGGCCAGCAGACGAGGCAGGCACGACCTTGCCGTCAGCAACAGCACGACTTGCCGGCCTGGGTTAGCACGTTCAGGCAAGCGACAGGGAGGATGGCTGTGCAGGCCGTTGAAACACTGCTCTGGCCCATGCAAACTATCGACAGGAAATGTCCGTGTTAGGAAAGAAGGCAGACGTCACATCAGCAGGGACAAGGAGCTCTACTGGGTGGGAGCCAGCCGGCCTGACTGCAATGGGGGAAAAGAGCAGGTGCACATACGTAAACTCAACGCTTCGCACTGGAGTGCCGCAGCTGTTCCACCTACCAAGAAAATATGAGAGAGTCAAGTCCCGCAGTAGTGACTTCTGCTCACTGACTAAAGGAAGAGCATTTTCCAAGGAACTTGGGGACAGCGGCAACCATTGCAACACCAGGAGATATTTCTGCCTGTTGTTAGAAGGTGGCTGAAGTTTCAGAAACCGGAAAAGTTAAGCTGGACAAGACTTTTGGATCCGGCAGTGGGCAGTGCCAGCCCCGACAACAACTGGAGCTCCAGGGTGTCTCCCACACGTTCTGCTGCGAGAGACTTCCGGGAAGGCTCACAGAGAATGCAGCATGTTTGAAAGCCAGGGTTGGCCTGCCTCAGCACCAAAACCGAATCTAGCTGTTCCTTCTCTGCGAGGGCGTAACTTCCCAATTTCCATCTCAGCCTGATGCCCTACCAACACACACCACGCACCTGTCCCCAGAGCATCAAACCGAGGGCCAGCTGGCTCGGGAATGCCAGCCACTGGGCCGCCAGGCAGCCGGCGCCTGGTTCACTGCCACAAGGGGCCACGCTCAAGAAGCGGCACTCACTTTGGCTTGGAGGGGTCAAAGGGCGGCTCCTCCAGAAGGTCATAGATGTAATTGTTATAGATTTCGATGTAAGAGACAAACACGCTGTAGACGTTGTCATCATCAACTTCCTCCACTTTGCAGTTGTCTTGCACATTAATCATGTCAGCAATTTCAGGGTCAATCTGCCGCCTGCTTAAAAAAAAACCACGCACATACACAAAACGGGCCTCGCGGTTTCCTTATTTGACAAAGCATCCGTGGTTGAGACTAGAGGGCCCCAGCCCGCCGCAGCTGCTTACTTGCCAGATGGTGTTTTTGGAATCGGAAAAGCTTCTCGTTTCTGGCGTTCAAGCAAAGCATCCACCTCGCACTGCACCTCGACCCCATTCTTATCATCAAGCTTGAAAACCTGGGGGCACAGAGTGTGCAGCTGTACTCAGGGCATGGCAATAGGGTGCTATTCATATGCTCTTCCAGACTAGACTTTCTTGACAGGAAGGCAGGGCAACTTGAGCCTGCGCTTGCTATACAAACGTGCCTCGCTCTCATCCAGTCAGCCAAACCAAAACAATTCTGGCATCCTTGATGGAGAGCACCGGACTTAAAATGCAGCCGGTGTTATTGTAAACTGAGTTATTTAAAATCCGAGAGACAAGTTGCTCTCTTCCCTTCAGCCTGCTTTTGCCATGTCTGAACCGCACCGGCCGTCACAGCCTTCCCACGCAAATGCATTCCAGATGCTTGGGGCTCCAACTCCCATCCGCCCCAACCTGCATAGCCAACCATCCGGAATTCGGAGAATGGCCCACCATGCCTGGAGCACACCAGACTGAGGAAAGGGGAGCCACGAGGAGGACGCGCCAGCTGCTCTCCCCGCCCTCAGAGGCAACTTCCCACCAGCACAGGATGTAACCAGCAGCTGCCACTCGGCACAGGAGAGCGGGACTTACGTATCGCTTGGCCTGCAGCGACCCTATACTGTTGAAGATCATATCTAGGCAGCGAGGAAGCAGCCCGCCTTCACCTGGGGAACCCGTCATGGTGTGGGTTTTCCCACTCCCTGTGACGCCGTATGTAAAGAGGATACCTGAGGTGCAAAGATACAGAGCCACTGTCACTGCTTATCAGAAGGCTTTACCCGCAGGATTTTGCCATGCCAGAGTGGCGCCCGCACGTTCTACCAGTATCTCCTAAGCAGCGTTTGCCAAGAAGGACCCTGCAGTTGAGGCCCCATCGGTGAGGGCGTTCAAGGCTAGGCTGGACATGCACATGGTGGGCATGTCGTGAGCGGAGCCGGCTGGTGCCGGGGGTCAGACTAGATGGCCCCGGAGACCCCTTCTGACTCGCTCTGTTTCTATGAATAGGCCCACAGAAACAAGGTACACTTGGAAACAGAGCGAGTCAGAAGGGGACTCTCCCAGGCCATCTAGTCTGGCTCCCGGCTCCGCTCATGAAATACACAACGTAAAGTAATACTTCACAGGCCTTACACACGGAACCTCTCCTGGGCAAAGCCCTTCCAGCAAGGAGCTGTTCTGAAAAAGCTCACCTTTCCTCAAGCCTGAAACAGAAGCTTCTCCAAGAAGATCGCACCCCAGAGGAGAAGAGAGCACATTTTTGCTTTTTAAAAAAGAAATAGGTATGGCACAGGATTTGCAGCTAGGAAAATAGTTTTGATAACATGCCAGCTATTTCCCTCAATTCCTGCCTCAGGGATGTCTTGAAGAAAAGTAGGTTATAAATGTTGTTGTTAAGCCCAAAGCAACATAGTTCAAATGCACTTGTTACAAAAGCAGACGACCAAACAAAAGCACCTTTCTGTTGATTTGTAATGTCTGCACCAGATACAATTAAACATCCTTTCAATCAGTGTCATGCAGATACAGGACAAGCGCGCCTGTGCATGAGGTAGAAAATGCCGGCCGCTGGTCCTAGAACCCAAAATAGCCCCAGCATATGGCATACCGTTTTTCCCATGGATGAGGTCTTCCACTAGAGGCCTAGCAACCACGTCAAAGACACGCCTCTGAGAAATGGTGGTGCCAAACACTTCTTTAAATGAATACTGAACCTAGGGAGGAAGCCAGCAAGCTGTTACGAGGGGCAGTCAATCTGCATTTTGCTCTCACTCCTGAACTGCGGGTATCTGATGCTTCGTCAGTCAGTTGCCACTCAGGTGGGGTGGGCTTGCTCCCATAAAATTCTCCCCCTCAACTTTTTAAGGGTGGAGCTGCTGAGGTCAGCCAGAACAGAAATGCCTGCTGCAGAGGAAGTGCAGAGAGGATTCCTCTCCTCTCATACAATACAGGTGCCCACAGTCCTGCGGGCAAGCTGAGTGGGGGCAGATCCAGGGACTGTGGAAGTCAATGCCACAGGAAACGGGGATGGCCAGTCACCCAAGGGCTCTCAAAAGGATTCTGACCAATCCATCACAAAGGTGAGGGCTGCAGCCTCCCTCGGTTCTGAAGGAAGGCCACCCCTGGATACCTACTGCTGGGTAAAGTGGGGGGGGGGATGATTTTGCACTCCTCTCCTGCTTCCCGCAGGTCAGCCACTGTGGCCCGATCCAGCAGGGCTCCCACATTGGCATGAATGGGGCATTTGTCCTACAGCAACCCGTTCTAGGATCCCACTGTTGCTGTCTCCTCTCCTGTCCCTTCTGACTTCACTGAATATTACACAGATTTCAGCCTTCACACATCAGAACCACAGTTTTTCGCTCCAGTTTCCAGCAGCATTTCAGTTTTACCTCTTTATACTCCCCATTGCGGCTGATGCGGTAGCCGTCAGGTGGGTGAACCTGGACAGTTGTGCTGCTGATCACTTCTATGCAGCACTCCTGGTCTGGCACACTGACTGGGCGCACCCGGCAGTATACCTAAGAGGAAGAAGCCCATGTTTAACAAGTGCCAGGGCTTGGATATTCCAAGCCTTGCTGAACCTTGAAAGGTGAATGCGCTCTCTCCAACAGCTTTCCAAGTTTGCACATCAGCAATGAGCTGTGCGCCTGAGTAACTGTCCTTGGGAGTGGGGTATCAGTATGACAGAGTCTGAAGAGCGGCTCCAAGTGCCCTGCCGAAGCTCACCTAGGCAAATAACTTGGCATCATCTCCATCTCGGGAGGAGCCAGGAAGGCTGTTGGCCCAACCCCCTGCTCAGTGCAGGGCTCCCAGTTAACCCATCCCTGACAGGTGGCTGCCCAGCTGCATCTGGAATGCCTCCAGTGTGGGGGAGCCCACTGCCTCCCTAGGCTCATGATCCTGTACTAGCAATAATCAGCCTCAAAGAGCATCTAGTGGTGCCAGAAGAGGAGGTGAGGCCACTGGCTTGCAGTCAACGCACCAGTTCACACTGGTCATAGACAGAACGCATGCTGCCCACGCACCTCCGCTTGAAATAATCCTAACACAGAGAAGCTGAGAAAGGAGCTGCTGTCCGAAACCTGGAAAGACTGGATGTTAAGCCCTCTCCACATCCTGCCCTTTTGTCCTCAGCAGAGCACAAAGGACAGGCCTCTATCTCACAGCAAAAGCTAAGACGTGCCCTGACTTGGTTCAAGGCTCAACGTTCGCACGACACTGACCTGTGATTTGGCACTACATGCACGGTGCAGGAAGGGCGTACAAGACGCCTCAGGTGCATGGGTTTCCTCCTCCCCTTACTGGCACACGCTGCTAGGCCTGCACCGAGGGCCTGTTGTGACATACGGTTTGGTGTACCCACACAGTGTTAAACTATGGTTTACCTGCTATCAGACTGGCATGTAACACATACAGGAGGAGGCTGGGTGTAGAAGCAGCGCTGTGCTGCAGACTAAGGAATCCACTCTGCCCTGCGGCAGCTGCTTACCCCAACAGGGTCCTTCAAGCTGTTGCTGGATGGTTTCTTTGGTGTATGTTTCCGAGGGGGTTTTGTTCTCCTGAAAATGAAAAGGCACCAAATATCAGACAGGCCAGCCAAAAACTGAGAGAGGCACTACAGAAAACAAATATGATTACTGCATCGCAGCCACAAAAAAGAGTGTCAAAAGGGCCGTGTTGACCATGAACCACCAGGAAGGGCATTCACAGTTAATGAAGGTCAGAATTATAAACTATTAGTGCTAATAAAATATGGTGCATGATGCATTTCATTTTAGAAGACACCACAAGCTGTTTCTCCAGCATTGTAGCTTGGCTAAAGTTGAATGCAGTCTAGGCACGGCCATAAGCCAATCTTAAATGCTCAAAGAAGCGTGAACAAAGGAATGAAGAAAACATCTGAAACAACAGAGCCCACTTCGTTGCATTCATATCTTAGAATTTTTAAAAAGAAAATGCAATATGCATTTATTTGGTCAGAAGTCACTGTTCATCTTTGCTTCTGTCTGTATCATCGCTGTGCTGTTGAAAGCTACAGAGTAACTTCCTGATGAGGGGGACCTATTGCTCTTAATTGCCTAAGTCTATAAAACTGCACGTCCACCAAGAGAATAATAGAAGTCAATGTGAAATCTAATATTAGTACATGACCCTAACCCCCCCCTCTTTAGCAACTGGTCATCGTCCCCAAAGAGGTCACTACTTATTTGGAGCACATGCTATAGAGATGGGCAGCCAGCTTGTCACCTCACAGCCAGGGAGGTGGGGGATGGAAAACGTTCTATCACGATATATTTTGGAAAAGTTTCCCACACTATGTTGACAGTTATCTGCAGTTGCTCAGGCTGCTGTAGTGCTATTAATCTTCGCAGAAGGGGTAAGTACCATATTGGACAAAGGGGGGGAGGGTCCCATCTAGTCAAGCATTCTGTTCATGCAGTAGCCAGCCACTGTCCATGGGAAACCCACAAGCAGGGCATGAGAGCAACAACAGCGCTGTTGTCCCATCCTCCCCGCGCCATGTTCCCCAGTCCCAGGTATACACAGGCCTCCACTCCATCAGGACCATCAGCTACTGATACTCTCCTCCCCCATGAATGTGTCCAATCCTCTTCTAAAGCCATCCCAATTGGGGGCTGTTGCTACATCTCCTGCAAGTGAATCTTATCACCTGACATACATGTTGTGAAGACACCCTCCCTTTGATCTGTCCTGCTGCTCCCACCTATCAGCTTCAGCTGGGTTCTAGCATTATGAGACGGGCAGGAAAACTTTCTCTAGTCCAGGCACCATTCTGTACACCTTTGACCACATCTCCCTTAATTTATTTACATATATTTATAGGCCACCTATGTTTGCCAAGGCCTTCCTAGGCGGCTTACAGTGTAAAACATACCAACAAAGTAAAAGCACATTAAAAACCAATTAAAACGTAATAAATTAAACATCTATAAAACAATTAAAAAGGGCTACAGTATACAGACTAAACATTAAAAAATTTCCTAAAAAGATATGTCTTCGCCTGGCGCTGAAAGGAGAATAGAGATGGCGCCAGGCGAATTTCCCTAGTGAGGGAGTTCCAGAGATGGGGAGCAGCAGCAGCAAAGGCCCTTCACCTGGTTGCCACCCCTCTCATCTCCCTGAGGGGTGGAACACGTAGAAGGGCCTCCTGATCTGATCTAAGGGGGCAGGTAGGTATATAAGGGTGCAGAGGGTACTTCAGATAGCCAGGCCCCAAGCCATTAGGGCTTTATATGTCAATATAAGCACCTCGAATTGGGCCCGGGCCAGCACTGGTGTTATATGGGCCGCTCTGGCAGGACCAGTTACCAAGCGAGCAGCCCGATTCTGCACCAGTTGCAATTGCTGGACCATCTTCAAGGGCAGCCCCACGTAGAGCGCATTACAATAATCCATTTGGAAGTTACCAGAGCACGGGGAACTGTCTTCAGGTTCCCGCTGTCTAGGTAGGGTTTAAGAGAACGGAGACTGGCTGTTTATTTCATGGCTTCTGTATCGACCTAGGTTTCAACTAAAATTTACTGTTAAGATTTGCATAAACTAAACTCTTTATTTTATTTACTTCCGGAACTTTCGTCTACATTAAGGCGGCTATTATAACGGCAAGAGCTACACGACAGTTTAAACCGCCGCTTCACGGGCAGCACTTTGGAATAATTCGCTCGACAAAGGAAAGGCGCCCTCAAGCGCCTGCCCCCGCCGCAGCGGGCGAGGAACGTGGACTAGGGCCTGGCCGGTCTTCGGACCGAGGCTCGAGTCGCGCCCGCAGCGGGCTGGGTCCAGCGACTTCCAGGCCCCTTCCCAAGAAGCGATTCTGCGAGCCCCAAGCCTCAGCCCTTCCTCGGATGCAGCTCGGGAACCAGCTGCTTCCGTCCCTGCGGTGGGGAGCCGCCCGCCGCCCGCCGCCCGCCGCCCGCCGCCCGCACTCACGCAGCCGCCTTCATCGCGCCGAGGCCGCCACGCCAAGCATCGGTTTGAACGTTCGCTCCCACTTCCCGGCATCCGCCGCGCGGCCTGCTGTTATTCAAATCCGGCCAATCAGAGCCCCTGGCCGCGCTCCCCGCTCCTCCTGCGCGCTGGCAGCCTCGCCCGCCTCTGTGGCGTCATAAGGGCGCGCGCGGAGAGGAGGGGCGCGGAGGCGCTCGTCTCCACGGCAACGGGAAGCTCCGCCGGGCAACGAGGCTTCGGCGAAGCGGCAGGCCCAACGCGAGCGAGCAGGCCCCGAGGCGCGTCTCCTGCCCTCCGCGGCGGCTTTCAGGCGAGGGTGCGCGGGACGGCCCAAGACCCGAGCGGGCCGCTTCCCCCGCGCGTAGAGGAGCGCCGAGCATCGCCCCGCCGAGCTAGACCCTCTGCCCGCTTGGTCCACTGGCGGGGCAGGCGCTGGCGGCCCCTCCGCGGCCTGCGTGACCCAGGCTTGACGCTCCGGCGGCAGCAAAGATGCCCGAGCCGGGCAAGGGGACGCGCCCACTGCGCATCATTCCTGCCTTGGAGCCCCAGCCCCGGGCAGCGCGTCTCTTCCCAGGCTCGCGTCGGGGTGTCGAAAAATGTGGCTGCTCCAGGAGACGGGGGCCGGGAGACCATGGCCCAGAGACCCGGGGCCGCCAACAACCGCCGCCCGGCTGGTCTGAACGAGCCCCACCAGGCTCGTGGGCAGGACGCACAAAAGGGTTAGACCCAGAGATACTGACTCCAGCATGGATGTGCTTTCTTGCTACCAAAAGTGCTTGTGTAAATCTCAGTAGCAGCTACTTAGAAAAATATAAATGTAGACAATGTACAGCAACTTGATAATATTTCACTGCAGGTTTCTGAAGGGTAAAAGGTCTGTACATTCTGAGTAACAGAAATATTATTATGTTTGACCAGATATTCTCTTCCCAGGCCTGTAAGACGTGTGCAGGTATTTACAGGCTGCTGTGGGTTTTTTGACATGGAAGGTGTGCAGCCTTTCCAAAGGTCATCTTGTTACTGGACTCAGCCAGTCAACAGCTGGGGCAAACCTGGGTGGACTCCAGACCTGAGCCAAACAGAGCCTGAGATGAGCCCTAGAGTCAAAACCAGCTTTATTCTAGTGCAGTATAGAATAAAGGGAGACAAAAGGGGACATTCAGCCCAAAGCAGTGTCTCAAAAGTTGCACCCCAGTACATGCGTTTTGTACCCTAGGTAACCAATTAGGTCACCTAGTGCACATCTAATACATTGATACATCAATGTATGCACCCCTTCCTGTGCTGGAGAAAGTCCTTTCTTCTGTCAAGGACCAGACAGTTCCCACGTCCATTTCTTATCTGCTTGAGATTCACATAGGCTTGCCATGTTCTTACTCCCTGCACATTTGCAACTTTCATGGCAGCTAGAACCAGTTTCCACTGTCCCTTTGATTACTGTATTTGAGGTCAGGCTCGTGTGTTAGCTGTGGGTTACACAAAGTTCATTTTGTTCTTATCTGCCCTCCCTTCTGGGACAGTATAACTGTGGTGTTTTTACTATGTGGCCTTCCTCTGGCCAACTACTTTTGGGGGCTTTCTCTGACCAATTACTTTTGGGGTGTTTTGGGGTGCTGCAATTGGCAACAATCGGATAGCTAATAATTTAAAAGTCACATCCCAAAAGCTGCATAGCTTCCATCTCACATGATAGAAATGCTACAATACAAAATGTAGTTCATAATAAAAAAATCCCTGCCGTTCAGAAGAGGATGAATACAACTCTTCGGTTAACAGTAGTATAGATCTTGTTTTTAAATAACGAGTGCTATTTCCTCTTCCGTTTGCTTCCTCTCCTGGAGAATTTTGGCATAGTATAGAGGGTCATTGAGAAAGCAGCGATGATGATGAGGCTGACCACAGTGGAAGCCAGAACTGGTCCGATGGTTTGAGAAAAGTTAGGTGCGGGCATGTAAGGCAGCAGCTGCTCGCGCCGCTCAGTCATGTCCACCAGAAGCGCTTCCATCTGAAAGCGTGTCCCGATGATCCCGCAGATGTGGAAGAGCTGATGGCTATGTCCTGCAAGAAAGCAAAAAAGAAGAGTAAGGATGCTGCTCTGCCCTTTTTTGTTCTGTCTTTTAACATACCTGTTTTAGTAAAAGGTCTACATAATGTAACAGCTGAAGTTCATTAAATGTTCTTTATTCTTTTCTGAAATAGTTGAAGGCAAATACTTGTGGATTGGGCAGAGAGATAAGGCAGGGTAGTTCTTTGGCTTGGTTGGTCATTTTACTTTATTTAGTAAACACACTAAATTAGATGCCTCTCTAGTGATTTTCCAATACAGAAAACTTTCCAGTGCAAATTAATTTAGAAAATTTTCCGGAAAACCCACATCACTGAGACCCACTCATCTGGGGTCCATTTAGGCGAGAGAGTTCCCAGGGAGTGGTGGCTGGGAGTAGAGAAAGGAGAGAGCCCCAGCTTTTTAAGGGTATGACCAGCTTACAGCTTAAAGTCTCCACTCTCCTTTGGACAGCATGTGATAGCTAAACTGACGAAGGCTTTTGGAAAAGAGAAGGAAGGAAATTAGCTGAAGTAATCTTGAACATCATACTTTCTTAAAAACATGTTACTTACGGAGAAATAAGGGAAAGCACGCAGGGCTCACTAAGGCATCGTATAAACAAATCATGTATGAAGGGCACTACGACCAAGTCATCGTTACAGAATGTGTAATGAGAACTTTCTGCTCATCACCCTCCTTTCCTTCCTCACAGCTTCATCTTTATCCCTACCACAGTCAATCCATGAAGCAAGAAAAGGCAGAATAGCTACGCAAGGCCTGCTAATTCCTGACACAGGGAGCCCCCAGTTTCAGGGGCCCTGCATTTGAGTTCTGGCTTGGCCTTGTGCTGTCTCTGTGTGCAGCACCCCAGAGGGTCTGTCACGCAGGCCACTTTCCCAATGCTGATTGAGTGCTCCAGGTTTCTTGGTACTCCTCATACAGCAGAACAGGAAATGGGGTAAGCAGTACTCTGGGCAGCTGTGGTTTTTCTTCTGCCCACTTCATGGCAGATTATAGCCAAACCCCAGTTGCACGCTTGCATGCGCATCACGGCACGGCTTTTCTCGTTTTGGCTTGTACGGAGCAAGTCGCCCACCTTGAGCATACCCACTTTGGCACCTCCGCTAGCTGTTGAATTGTGTTGCCTGTGACAATGGTGAGTAACAACCGCTGGTCTGAAGAGGCTGGATTGGCCCTTCTTTTCCCTGGACTTCCAAGCAGACCAGAACTGAGATTTTCTAGCTCATATTAAAGCTGACCACACGTACTGCATCCAAAGAGCACTGCAGAAGTCAACCACAACAGAAACAAGCAAAGGTGGACTACTGGCCATCGGGGCAATGCAGCTAACTGACAAGAAGTGGATTCCAAGCGGAAATGAACAGGCCAGACCTTTGGGGCCGTGTGGGGCGGGGGGTGCGTCCGTTTCAGGGCCACTCAATGGGATCTTCTGGCCTGTCTGCACTAGTTCCCCACAATCTTGGGTTAATGTTGTCAGGTCCACTCTGCTCCATATCAGTTTGCTTGTGAGACTGTCACACAGAACTTGAACCGTGGCAACTGCCCGGCTTTTCTGTGGGTCTCTCAGCTGCAGATCTGTGCCCGTCCTCCGCTGAGGCAGAATCTGCTTCTGCCGCTTTTGAAGTCCCTTTTACAGAGGAGTGGGCTGAAGCCCTGCAGAGGTTCCCCTGCGCTGCCCATTCGCTGCTGCCTGTCACATCCCGTCAAGCTGCCCAACCCCGTTTCATGGCAGTGGGGAGGAGACAGGAGCCCCCTTACCGATAAAGTCAAATCGTCCAGGTGCCAGCCGCTCGGGCAGGTGGGTTACAAAAAGGAAGCAGGTGAGCCAGGCGAAGGCAGTGTGCATGTAGTGCATTGAGATGGCCTTCTCCGAGCAGCCTCTGACCGTGCACAGGTACAGCTGTGAGACAGGAAGGGAAATACTCAGGCGAACAGAAGAAGAAAATGTTTCAGCTCTCCAGCTGACTAGGGAGGGGAATGAACAGGGACACCTGCCTGCAGTTGCTGTGCGTCGCCTGACCCTGAGATCAGGCGCACCACCTTGAAGATGCTTCCTTGCTATATTTTAAACCCACACCATGGTTCCAGCACCAAAGTAGGGTTCTTTGTGGATTCAAAATGAAGTCCAGCTGAGCTCTGTGCAAGGCACCTCCCGAGAGGAAGGCGAGCTCAGTCTCAAGGGCAGTGCCTGCCTGCCTCTTGCCCGCTCACTTTGAAGTGGTTGGACTCTTGTCCCACAAAGGACAGGATCATTTCCCTCTGGGCCCAAGCAGCAGTGCCCTCACCAGCTCGGGCAGTAAAAGCTTCTGCTTCTGAAATGAGAACTAACTGGTTATACACACCTTTGCTGGCAGCCCTGCTGAACTTTAGAAGAAAATGTCACATCACTTACTCTCAGTACACATGTACTGCTGGCTTATGAAACGCCCTGTTGCATTACGGCAACATTCTGTCAGCTCGGACGCAAGCCACCTTGAGCCTCATGGGGGGACAGTGGCGAGTTCCCACGTCTTCACAGCCCCAGCCTGGATGCCTCCGAGCAGAAGGAAGCCCCCCTGAGCTCAAAGGGGCTTGGTGCCAGGCAGGTGAGTCTCCAACTGCAGCACGGGGCACTGGTAGGTGCGAAAGCCCAGCGGATGGAAGACATACCCGGTAGTAGAGGGGCACGCTGTTATACACATAAGGATACGCAAAGGCAAACGTGCGAATGGCTTTGCTGAACTTCAGCTGCCCCATTTCAGTGAACCTGCATGCGTTAAAAAAAAAGGTAAGTGGACAAGCTGGCTTGCGAAATGCAGAAGGGGTGGCTGGATACAGAGGGCATGAGACTCCCTCCCATTCGCAAAGCGTTTTGCGACTACCTGCAACTCGCTTACCACACAACGGGAACTTCTATGAGAAGAGGCACTCGACCCCAGCCCTGGATGCTCATGACAGCAGGCATGAAACCCAACCATGTCCACAGCGGAAGTAAACTCTCGGCTATTTTACTTCTGCTCCAAATTGAGCTCAAGGCCACTGTGGCGCCTTCCCCTGCACCAACACTCTCTGCTTTTGCTTAGGGGGTTCTGACAGGTTTGTCCAGGGCAGCAGGTTCAAGTTTATAAAGCAGGCACAATCGAAAGACAAGATGTGACACTCTGATAAGTACTTCTTGTCTGCCTGGTTCACACAGTGCTGGCACAGCAAGTGCAGGTGGCCAGTTTCCCAAGGGAGGGATTGTCCAAATGCGTGGCCGTCCAGGTCATGTCCCACCACAGGGAGGCCAGTCACAGGCTGCAGCTTCTGCGCTGCCCCCTGCGTGTCGATGGCGCACTGCCTGGCGACGCATGGCTTTGGAGCCAAGTCCTGTCTCAGCCACTGAGGGCGGAAGGCGTGCCAAATAAGGGCGTCTTTCTTCCCTTGGTGCCTGACACCTAAACATCCATTTTCCAATATTCCACAGCAAGAAAAACTTACTTAGACCAGGCCCTGGTTCAGAACAGACACCGCCTCACCTGGACTTGATTTAAAAGAGAGGTAGAGGGTGAGTATTGTCAGCCTATTGCTGGCATCTCAGCCCAAACCTCTGGACGACCCTCTCCCAGCAGTTTTACGGAAACACAAACTACTCACGATCACCTTGAATCTTCTTCCTGTCTTCTCGGGTACTAGCTATCCCACCCAGTTTTATTTCCTCTGATAATTGTTCCCTGCACTTCCACAGCCAAGTCATTTATAAAAATCCTGAAAAGCCCTGGGCCCAGGACTGAGCACTGCGTTTGTGACCTCTCCTGGTTTGAGAAGGTGCCATGGAGCCGGATTCTTTAGCCAAAGGAGACTGGAGCTGCCGATTACACACAGGAAGTTTGGTGGGGGGGTGTTTACCAGGAAATAAATGTCTAACACATGCAATAAATGTGTATCTCATTGTCTTTCAAACTAATGTGGAGGTTATGTAGATGAGGCTTGCTGTATAGATTCCTCACTCCGGCCCCAGGCCGCACCTTATTTTAGCCCTTTGAAAATGATGCTACCCAGGTTACACTCACAAGCTGCGTTTGGTACCTGTGAATACATCAGAGGTGTGGAACATCAGTGGGGCAAGAAAATACATGTTGTATGAGAATATTCACCCAGCTCCCGCTGCTTATTTCCAGAACTATGCATGTAAAATATTTGTATTGCAAGGCCACAGAAATTTAACTTCTCAGAGGTTAGGCCATCCCTGAATTCACAAGAAAATCCATCAGGGCAGGCCTGCTGGGAACTGATTTTTCCATACCTGAGCTGATCTGGAAAATGGGGACGGAGAGCTCTTTGTATCATTTGCAACAAAGATAAACGTATGGTTGGAATTTGTGTGCCTTCCAATTTGGGATTTTTTGTGCGCCATCCAGAGAGCTTCAGATATTGGCTAGTATTGCAATGAAAACAACAACATTAATACTGGATGAGTAGTAATATCTGAACGGAAAGCAATACCTGGAGTAGCAGGAAAGGGTGGTGCTGATAATCGTGTTAAGCACAGCAAAGGAGACGTAGCTCTGGTGGAACGCGCTGCCAGCCCATTCTTCTGGGAAAATGTAGGCGGAGTAAGCGACTGCAGAGCCTGAAAACAACACAACCCCCAGAGTCGATCCAAGGTCGCCAGTGCCGGTGCAGGTGGCACCAGGACAAGACTGTCCTCCAGCACGTCTGACGGGCATGCCTGCGAGAAGCCTGAGGTGTGCCAAGGTGAAGAAGTATTAATCTAGGCCAGTGGTTCCCAAACTTTTCCGGTCATGGAACCTTTCTGAAGACTTTTTTTTCCCCACAGAAACCTAACTCGATGCCCGATTTTTATTAAGCTGTGTGAACCTGCAGTGTTCTTTCCTCTTTCATCTGCGCCTATTGCCTGAGTGCTCTGCATAATACAGTAGCTTTGGAAATAAAGAGAAAACATTTTAAATTTAATGAACTAATAAAGCAATTAGATGCTCATATCTCAAATAAATTCTTTCGATCATTTCCAACACAACACAATAGAGTCCCAAGAACCAAATGACACGATACATTTCTTTGCTTGCCGCTTGGATGGCAAATGACAATCAAATAATTGGCCTCGTGCGGTCTCGTTTTAAAATCCATTTTAAATTTTTGAGATTTTTGTGGCACCCCTACAAGGCTTTTGCAGAACCCCAGGATTCTGAGGAACACGGTTTGGGAGCTGCTGATCCAGACAGTGCTCCCCCCACCCCCGGGGGCCGCAGTTTCTCCACCCCAAAGACTTAAATGGCGCTTCAGTGCCAAATCGGAGGAAGAAATGCAGCTGCGGGGAGCAGGCAGGAGGAAGGGGAGAGAGAGGCACGAGAGGGCAGCAGGGGGCGCACCAGCAGGCAGGGAAGGGGATAATGGGAGGAGTGGGCCAGCCAGTGGAGCGGCTGGAGCCCCGCAGGCCACTTTGCTGCAGGGCCACTTGGGCATCAGAACCGAGGGCTCCACGCTCAGGCCAAGCTGAAGTTCGGGAAGGATGGGGTGCATCCAGCCTTCCAGGCGGTGCTGGGCTTCTGCCCCAGCCTTCCTCCCGCTGTCGGCTGGAGCACCTGGGAGCAGAAGGCCAGAGAGGACAGGAAAGCCGCCTTCGCACGCCTGCCATGCTGTCCTTAAGGCAGCTCCTGAGCGTGGCCAAAACGTCCGTGATGCCAGGTTCCGGGCCAGCCCGATTCCCTTCTTCGGATGAAACACGCGGGGTGCATTTGTTTGCTGGAGTGAACAGCACTTGGGGGCAGTGTGCAGGCTCCACAGGCGCATGACAGGCCGAGTGCAGGCCCTGGGGGGTTGCGCTCCTTACCTAGACTGTACAGAGTGAGGGCTCCATAATCAAGGAAAAAGCACACATGCCTGGTGCGGACAGACATGGTGCTGAAGGTGTGGGCGAAGCTGGATGCCAGCGGATAAAGGACACAGGTGGCCAGGTAGGAGAGGAAGGGCCAGGCATGGCGGTCACTCCAGGCATCCAGAGCATCAAAGGCGGCCAGGAATTTCCACAGGAAGTACCTGAAAGGAGGGCAGCTGGTCAGCTCACAGGAACGACAGGTGCGGGCTCCCCCAGTCTCTTCTCCCAAAACAGGTCGGGCTTGCCTTCCAGGGAACAAGACATCCCTGTCCAAACAAGCGGGGACTTGGCGTGGCCATGCGCTCAGCGCAGTGACTGCAGAGCACCGGACTCTTTTTGGGCTCCCCAAGTGTGCATCATGGGGCGGGGGGTTCTTCTGAATCCGGGCCGGGCCCACAGCTCCCCCACCTCGCGATTGTATCCATGCTCCTCGGGTTTGGGGCTGCTCTAATCCACGTACTCCCTGCCTGGGGTTTCCTTTCCTCTGGAAGGGTGAGCAGAGGCCTGTTCCTCCCATTACGCACATGGATGCAGCTGGGGGGGGATATAATAAGTGACCCACCTCCACGGCAAGAGCAGGCAGAACCCAGCACCAAAACACGTGGCAGTTTGTTCAAAGCGCATACTTATATTCCCGTACCAGGCAGGCAGAAAATGTGTCCAGATGTTCAGCGTCTCGTTTGTCATTTGGAAGACACTGAAGAGGCAGTGTGCTGCAGAACTCCTCGGGGGACGGTACCCGAAAAGGATGCTCTGCTCTCGGAAGACCTACCAAAGAAGGACCAGCAACGTTTAACAGCTATCTGCACGGAGCACAACCAGACCAGACTTTTACGGAACCGCCGCCCTGCAAAAGCCGCGGGCTGCTAAGGAGAGCCTGTCCGTGGTCGCCCTGCACCCGTCACCTGGGAGATCTCCCGAGCCTTCTGACCGCAGCGAGTCCAGCCACGCCGACGTGTGCGCAAAGCCTAGCGCGGGCAGAGTGAGGAGGCTCGCGAGGCTCTGGGGGGCGCTGCGGGAGTTTCACGCCGCCCAGGACCACCAGATGTCTCCACTGCTCCGGCAGCAACGCCGCCAATGGCAAAAGGCGGAGCGAGAGACTCCCAGCTCCCAGCGCGGGTAGGAATCGGGGACAAAGAGATCTGCCTTCTCTCAAAGCTCTCTGACCCCCACGTGCGGGGAGGGGAAGCCACCACTGGAGGCCTAAAGGCAACGTCACGGGACCTGGGGAAAGCACTGCACCTGCGAACCTGGCCCACTTGCCACGGTGCCACGCACCTCCCTGGCTGCCCCCGGCCCTGGACGGGCCGAGCAAGACCAGCGGTGCGGATAATCCCCTTGCAAGGGACACTCGCCTTCCAGGGCGAGGAGGCACCCGGCGTTGCCGGGGGCCCAGCTCTGCGGTGCCAGACTGGCATGTGGCTGCAGCTCAGCAGCTCCCCACAAACCATTTCCCAGGCTGCGCTGCGGCTGCAGTGGGCTCTCTGGCCAGCGGCCAGGCTACCTTCCACGAGCAGCCACTGAACTTTGCATCGCGTTTACGGTCCGCCCACGCTGCAGAGGGCACGGCAGCAGAGCGGGACTGCAAAACGGCACGAGCATTTCACCGCGTTTTATGGCACATGCTTCCTTTCTGAACCCATGCTCTATGTGCTACAAAGAAAAAGTCATGGAAATGCTCAGGAAGCCCAGGAGAGGCCCAGAGAAGGACTGGCAAACCACTGCAGGCGAGAATCCCAAGAGCACCCTAAATGCCTGGGGTGGAGGGGTGGCCAGAGCGAGCCCACACCGACTTACTTTGGGGACTTGGCTGATGGTGAGCAGACGAGGAAGCTTCAAGCCCAGCATGGCGGTGTTTGGTCAGGGTGAGCGTCACTTGGCGGGAACCCTGAGGCTCAGCGGAGGGGCACCTGGCACCAGAACTCCACCCGTGCCTCGGTCGCCTGCTCTTCCTTCGCCCATGAAACGCCTGCCCTCCGATCTTGCTGCAGCAGCCCGGGGGGGCTCAAAGCGAGCAGGGGGAGCGAGCGAGCGAGCGCGGGAGCGTCAGCCGGGTTGCTCTAGGAATGAAAATAAGCCAGAGATGGGCCCGCCGCACAGAGGTTCCTGCCACACCCACATTCTTGCCCAACAACTTTTCTACCTTGTGCAAGAGGCCGCCAAGAATAGAACCATGACATCACCCCAGTACCAGAGAAGTGGCACCGGGGGTCCTCCGTGGCATGAGCAGGCTTGCCACCCTGGCTACAAACCAGTGGCTCTTGTGGCGTTTAAGGAAGGGCTGGGGGGTCACGCTCTCCAGGTGGCTGCAGCCTGCTGGCCCAAGAGGAATGTCCCCTCGAGCTGATCCACTCTGCCCCCATCCCACCCACCCCACCCCACGCACAGCGACCAGCTCGAGGCAGCTTGGGACTTGGCAAAGGCCGGGCAGCTTTCCCAAGAACTGCAGGAGCCCTGCGCCTGGGCTACTTTTGGGGTCGAAGATGATGTCGATTAGGGTGATGACAGCCCTTTAGTAGGTGGGATTTGGCTGTATTTTGTATTGCCGGCCAGTTCCTCGCTGCTAACCTCACTAGGGCGGGACTGCACTGGGTAAAAAACCCCAACACATCTGCAAAATGCACCCTCCTTTTTCTGGAGCGGAATCAGATCGGCACCACAGAACGGGCTCTGTGCTTCCCAGGGAGAACGAGGCCGGCACGTCATCCCTGCTCCGCTCCAGCCTCGTGGCTGGTCGCCCTGCTCCGCACGGGGCCATCACGCCTCTGGCAGCTCTCCCATGGATGAGACCGCCTGGATGGAGGTCCCTTTCCAAGCGGGGAAAGGACACCGAGGCCGCGGGTCGGAAAAGGGAGCCAGCTGCGGGCTGGCAAGGAGCGGCGGGCCTGGCATTTCGCCTTCCCGGACTGCCGCCGGTGGAAACGCAGCCCTGCCCTGTGGATGACCCTGAGCTGTGGGCAGGGAAGGCGTGCGAGGCTCCTGGGCCACCCTCCAGAGGCCCCACGGGCCTGACTGGCAAGGAGCACTGGGAGTCCCTGTGGACGTCGGCGGAGAGGGCCAGCCCCTCGCGGAAAAGACCGGGAAGGGGCCCTGCAGGCTCCCCACGCCTGGAGGGAGGAGCCGGGCCCGGGCACCGTTGGAGGCGTTGCCTTCCTGCCTTTCCTGCCATCCTGGCTCCGCCCACTGGCAACCGGCCCGAGGAAGGGCTCCCAAGGTCGTAGCCCAGAGTGCCTGCCACCAAGCTGGGGCCTTCTCGTTTGCAACGGAGGCCCCCCCAAAGGGCAGCGGGGGCCCCGGCTCGGGCAGGGACCTGCTTTGCAAGCACCCCACCAGCCCTCACAGCCCTCTGAGCAGAGACGGCATGCCCCTCAGCCCACCCGCCGGCCCTGCGGACCCCCACATCTGCCAGGCCCGCTCCCTGGCTGAGCTCCTGGCCAGGCGGGTCTGGCTCGCTCGAAGGCCCGCCGGGCCCGGCCTGCCCGCCCCTCGTGGCCGCAGACACGTCCATGGCAAGGGCAGCCCACGGCTGCCCCACGCATGTCGGAGGGGCCCTGCGGGACCAGGCCCACCCAGTCCAGTGGCCTGTCTAGGTGGGGGCCCACACGCAGGAGCGCAGAAGTCCCCCAGCGCCTTGTGCAGACGGGCAGATCCCCATGAGAACCGGGAGCCGCTGGCAAGCTCCCCGGCCATGGAGTTGCCCGATCCCTTTCAGGAGCCACCCGCCCGGTGGCCACCCCGACGTCTCCTGGGAGCCAGCGGCACACTCCAGCTCTGCCGCGTGAATCTCACCGCACGGCTCCACGGTGCGCTCCAGCATTAGGCACCTCGGCCTCCTCCGGACGCCGCACTCGTGTGCCAAAGCCACGGCCCCGTCTCCCCCCCCCCCCCGGCTGTGGGGCACCGACCCCCCCTGCTGCCTTCAGCACACCGGGCGCTGCACCCGGGTGGGCCAGGCCTTCGCTGCCTCCTCCCGGAGACGAGCCCAGCGCACCTGCACCGACCGACGCTGCCACGCCTGGCCCGAACAGCCGTGTTTGCCCAAGATAGCATCTGGCGGGGCTGTTTCCATGACGGAGCCGGCACCCCGCCCAGAGCAGGCCTCCTTCCTCGCGGAGACCCGCGGGGGCCCCGGACCGGATGGGACAGTGCAGTCGGGGCTCCTGCAAGGAAGGAGGCATTCCAGGCAGGCAGGCAGGCAGGCAGGCGCTGGGGCTGTTAATGAATAACCCTCCGCAGCCGTGCCTGTGGCGCACCCGGCCACCCGTGAAACCTGGCCCCCAGCAGCTCTCCTCACAGGACGCCGCAAGGGTGCGGGACCCCCCGGCCCCCGGCCGCGCGAGCCCTGCAGTAACTGGTGCCCTGCGGGCAGCCTTTTGCAGGCCCGAGGCAGGAGCTGGTCCGGGGAGCCAAATGCGGCAGGTCCTCCACCGGGAACAGCAGACCCCACGCCACGGCGCTGGGGACGCTCTTTCCTTGACTCGGACGGGGAGGAGGGCTGCACACGGGGGGTCCTTCAGGCCCCCGACAAGCTCTGCCCCACCTCCGTTGCCACCTTGCCGGGCTGCCTCCAGGCAGGAAGCAACCCAGCCTTATCGGGGCACTAACGCCGGCCTGCCTTGCAGGGCTGTGGTAAGGAAATGCAGAGCTGGTTCTGTCCTCGAGAGAGGCAGGGCACCCCCCCCCCACAAGGCGGGCCGCCTCCCCCCCCCCCCGGGCTTTCCCTGTTGCTGTTCTGGCCACAAGGCAGCAAAAGGGAGGGCCCAAGCGGAGTGGCGTTTTGGCCAGGCGCGTGACCGTCTGGCCAGCTGCCAAGCACAGCCAAGGGCTCATCTGCGCGGGTTTTGTGGGGCGGCCCGGGGTGCTGCTCAGCTCCGAGCACGGTCTGGTTCCAAGACTAAGGACGAGGGTGGCCTCAGGATCGAGGCTGGGGGCACTTCCCCTGAGGGAGGACCCCACAGACCCCGTGGGGGTGGGCCCCGCATCCCCCAGCAGTGGCTGAGCCGAGGGCTTGCGCAACCTCATCGCCAGGGCCTGGCACTGCCCCCTGCAAACAGGTGTGCCTGTCCGGCAGGCCTGCCGCCTCTTGGGGGCTGCTGCTCTTGGGAAGCCTCCTGAGGGCCCCGCTCCCTGCCTGTGCTTTGCAATGGGGGCACCCACCCCTTTGGGTGCCCACATCCCCCCGGGCCAAGTGGCCCTCCGCCTCCTCTTGGCCTCGGCAGGCAGGGCGGCTCCATCCCGTGCCCCTGCTTCCAGCAGGTCTGCCAACCCTCCGCACAGGCAAGGGAATGCTGGCGCCCCAGGCAGGGAGGGCTCCGGGGGCTTCCACCTTGAGGCTTCCCCCGGGAAGAAGGCTCCGCGGCCTGGGCCTGGCTACTGCGGTCCCCTTGCAGCAAGACGTGGCCACTTTCCCAGGGCTGCATTCCAGGTTTCCCAGGGACGCGGTGGAATCTCCCCAGAAAACCTGCTAAGCCTACGGGTGGAAGCAAGTCTAGGCCCTGAGAAGCGGCACCCGGCACAGGGCCCCAGCCTTGGGAGGCAAGGAGAGCAACAGAGCAACCCTGGGGCGGCCTCTGCCCACCCACCGGGGGAAGGAGCAACGCCACGGGACGGACGGGGCTTTCAGCCGCCTTTTCACTCTGGCCAAAATCCCAAATCACACCCCGGGGCATCAGAGAGAGGCCGGGCGCCTCGCCTGCCGCCTGCCCTGATAAGGTAGGGCTGCAGTGGAGTGGCACGGCCCAGGCATCCCGCAAACCCAGGCCGAAGGGGAGGGCCGGGCACCTCTCCTCCACACGACCGACCGACCACAGCTCGGCCGGAGCTGCCTCGCCGCCCCGCGATCCTCCTCCTCCCTAGACCGCAGGAATGGCACGGCAGGGCTGGGCGAGTGCAAAGCGCCCTTGTTGCCGCTGCCGTTGCCGGGAGCGGCTGTTCCCGGGTTGTGTTTTTCACCTTCTCCAGGTTGCAGAACCAGAATAGCGTGCCATTAAAAGGCAGGTGAGCGCAAACAAGAACCGCGTGCCTGCCTCCAAACGGGGGTGGCTTTAGGCTCTGCTTACAAGAGAGGGCGTTGGGTGCGCCGGAGGAACGAGGAAGTTTTGTAACCGCCAGGGACGACGCACCCGGGAGGGCTGCCGGTTCACGCTCGGTTGTGCCTGCCCCGAAGCCCGGCAGACTTGAAGTCCTGGCTTGTCCTGCATGGCCCCTTTCCAAGACCATCTGCCGCAGCAGTGTAGGAGAATCTCCACTGCCGAGTCTGGTCCTTGGGGTGGAGAGAGAGAGACGTCGGCGTGACACGTGGCCGGGCGGCACGAGGGCAGTTCGCCGGACTACCCCTGGCCGGCCACTGCTTCATGGCTCTCCCCCCCCCCCCCCCCCCCACCGCTGCACACCATTAGCCCTCCTTCTCACTGGCATGGCTTTCTCTCCGCGCAGCTGAGCCCTCCTTGTGAAAACCAGGTGGCCAGGGGGAGAGCACAGGGGGCGCATCCTGCTGCCAGGCTCAGCGCCCCAGACTCCTCCCAGACCAGGCTCCAACAGGCCTCGTCCAGCGCGAGCCAACCCAAAGGCAGCCGTGGGGCTCAGCCCAGCCCTCCCACCATCCCGCAGGGCCTTTCCGGGGGGGCTCTGCACCCTTGAAGGTGCAATGGTGGGGAGAGGCCCCTTTCTGAGGGCAGCAGCTGTTGCCCCAGGGCTGAGCAAGGCCCCCCCAAAAGGGCCAGGCATGCCAGGCACAAGCTGATGCAGGGCTGGGGGGCCACAATGGCGCTCTTGGTGCCCCTCCCACAGCATGTGGCCCCTGTGCAGGACGCTGGGAAGGCCGCTGCCTGCGAGAGCCGAAGGGCGCCTTCTGCACACGCGATCCGGCTGCTCCCCCCGCCAGGGCATCTGCCCGCACAGGGCTCGGGCCTGCAGGGGCTCCCGGAAGCCTCCGCTCTGCCTCGAGGTGCCGGCGCGGAGGCCTGGGCTAGCCCCACGGGCCCTGGCAGAGGAGGGTGGCAGCGCCCCACCCTGCT